ACCCGCACAGCAGCCTGGTCCACCTCCATGAAAATCTCCTTCAAATACTCCACACTCGTCGCCGCGACCCACTCAACAACCCACAAACTAACCCTTGCCACACCATCCACTGCACCCCCGGAAGCCTCGCAGTCCAAGGGCCTGGATATGGCAGAGTTCAATAAGACGAAACCATGCTTCGACAAGAAATGCGATGACCCAGGGAGCGAAATGACATATAATAAGACGATAACCTTCAACATTGATAATGGGGGCGACGGAGGTGTTAAATTTGGGAAGGGATCGGGCGTGTCCAGTGCTGCTCCTACCGGATTTAAGATGGGAGTGGCAGCCTTGGTAGTGGTTGGGTTTAGTGTTGTTTTGACAATTTTATAGAGTGGCAGTAGGAATATACCCACTCAGCTGTAGCTTTCGCGCGCAGAGTCGATCATCATCAATTGTTTTATTCTTTCGTTTCTTTCGTTTATTTTTGTTTAATGGACTTTTCTTTTACCATTTTATATTTAGCTTTCGTAGACTCCCCTGGCACCACCCCCTCTTACTGTTATGGAAGTAAGGGTGTATAGATATGTGTGGCGGGACTTTGTATTTTGATGTTTACTTTCTACTGACTGAAACTTGGACTTCACTTTTTTGCTTTACTTACTTTACCTTTGGACAGGTATATGTATTTTTTTCATAGGGAGGATTTTTCATTGGGTGATAGTTATATCGTATCTGAGGTGGCAGGAAATATATTAACTTACCCATTGAATGAATGATTGTATAGTATCTTGTTTAGGTTTAGATTACTGAGGTGATGTAAAGGAAAATAGACTGCAGATTAGTATCTATCCCGATTGAGATGCTAGAATATTTTAACTGTTGGTATCGCACGAGATGTGCGTCGGGAGTGCAGGCACTGTTGCCGTTGTCGCCGTGGGTAGCAGTCAACGGGTGGTCAGCGGTGCGACAAAGATTGTGAGCCCTGTTGGATTGCCTATAGGACATGCAGTTATGATTAGGGGATTGTGTTTTTCATACCGGATGTTGTTAGGCATCGGGTATTGGCTTTGATTGTTGTGTTTCTTTCACACCCTATGCTGGTCGGCATACGGTATTGTTTGTTTTGCGTTTCGTTGTTTGGTTTTGCCATTATACCTTACGACTTTCGGCATCAGGTACTTAGGCTTGTTGTTTTGTTAGTTGAGGTTTTGTTTGGCTCTATGCCGGGTGGCATGAGATGTTGGTTTCCGGATCATTGGTCCGTTGCTAGGTGATTGCTTTAGATCATGATGGATTATTCGGTGGCATTCTGGATAGCTATGGGATGTTCGTGGAGTTTGGCTGGAGAGATGTTTTACTATTTTAGAGATATATATATTTCTGCTCTGTCCTTAGCTAGCATCTCTATCGATTGCCTAGTTTCCCATTCCTGACGTCTAGTTGTGATTTCTCCACTTCATCTCCGATTTGTTCCTTTAAGCCCGACGTAGTTTCTAAAGGAACAAATCGGAGATGAAGTGGAGAAATCACAACTAGACGTCAGGAATGGGAAATTAGGCAATCGATGGAGATGCTAGCTAAGGACAGAATAGAGATATATATATCTCCAAAATAGCAAAACATCTCTCCAGCCAAACTCTACGAACATCCCACACTCATAGTTATCTAGAACACTACCGAATAATCCACCATGATCTAAAGCAATCCACTAGCAACGGATCAATGATCCGGAAACCAACATCCTATGCCGCCAGGCGTAAGATCAAACAAAACCTCAACTAATAAGACAACCAGCCTAAGTACCTGATGCCGAAAGGCGTAAGGTGTGATGGCAAAACCAAACAAAAAAACACAAAACCACTGATACCTTATGCCGACCAGCATAGGGTGTGAAAGAAACACAACAATCAAAGCCAATACCCGATGCCTAACAACATCCGGTATGAAAAACACAATCCCCTAACCGTAACCGCATGTCCTATAGGAAATCCAATAATTTCGCTATACAAGGTGGTATCAAACAAAAGGGATGCTATCTGTGCTAGAATAGACATGAATTAGAGCATCTACAGCATACCAATGCATCTTCGGGAAAGACTTCTCTTCCACGCTGTACAATTCAGCACTAACAGGAAAGATAGGAAAACCCATCAGCACGCATCGCGGCCCTTCCTTGTATTTCAAAAAAAAAAAGTCTTCCTAACTCTGCACACTACGGCAGCCCACAGAAAACCACACAAATGTTGGAACGATTTGGAGAATATACTCTGTGAACGCGGTAACTCAGGAACGAAAGGAAGTATCTACCAGTAGTACGCTTTTGAAACATAAGTTAGAGAGACTTCTCCATCACCTCCCGTGGGCTAGTACGAGCAGTCTCTAGTAACTGCAAGGGTACCGCGCCGGATATGAAGCCATAAAGCTACTGTGCCAGCATCACAACCAAGATTTCTCCTCCAGACAAATATCAGCATTTCAAAACCTCCTCCTCCTCTTTCTTAGTAAGCGCCGCCGAGATTCGCTGCCAAGGCGGTCCCAAAACTACGAAATTACTCTGTAAACTCTCCCTTCCTTCCCAACCCTCAGCTCTCCAATCCAAAAAGCAAGGGCGCAACCTCCATGATAATAACATTCAGCCAAACTTACTAAGTTATACCAAACACAAAAGCTTTTCAAAAAAGAAAATCACAGTTTTTCCCAAACACAAGTACTGTGCAGGTGTATTTCATTCTTCCACCCTCCGGCGTCTACACGATCAGCCACAACAATCTCTGCAGACTCAAACATGACATCTTGATTAACATCTATCTAATTCAGTAGTAGTCACTCACTGCATCCCAGATTAATTATGGATAGAGTGTGCAGGAGTGGGTGGCGGGCGGGCAGTGTAATCATTGGAATTTTAAGACGATCATGCACTATCACTCACTCACAACGACCTCCAGATAAAGATAAAGAAGAAAAAAAACAGAACTTCTTCCAGAGTACGAGGCTGATGACAAAAATGATGAGCAGTTTAGGATTTCTCACCCAAAACAGCCATGTTCACAACCTTCCAACAACTGATCCAGTCAAGCAATTGAAGCTGAATCTTCATCTATGTTAGATAATTCCTTAGATTTTACTTTCTGACCCTTTAGAACTCTGTATCCAAACTGGCGGAAAGAATTATCAGGAGAGCTGTGGTCAGTACATTGCTCTTGGCGCATTTTTTGATGATTTTGTATGGGAAATGGTCAGGCTTGGCGCTTTTTTCAACTTTAACTCTACAATATGGTACGCCAAAGTAACCAAAAATTCTTTAAAAATCTGTAGGCTCTTGGGGGGATATTTGAAAGAATTTTGGACTAAATTATTAATTTTTCGATTTTCTTGGGGCTTTGGAATCTATTGAGCGGAAGGCGTGAAGTAGCATGGTTCGGGTTGTTACATGGCATTCTGCTCATCATTTTTGTCACCAGCCTCGTACCTTACCCTTCTTCCCCTTCTTTTCCATTTTCTTTCTTTTTCTCTGTAACCCAAACTCCAGACACCCCCACTATCTAAAGAACTCTTCTCTCCTCCGAAACCTAACCTCAATTCCCGAAGCCCCCAAAACCAACCAAACCCCAACAGAATTCCTTCCCCGTACCTTTTTTTTTCCAAAATAACCTAAGGCAGGCCTCAATTTCAGATTTTCAGAATTTGAAGATGCTCCGTTCATGGCACGGAATTTCAAATATCCCCTTGCCAAGCGGGTTTTCGAAGAATTAAAGATTTATTGGATTTGGTGACGTAGGCGTTGGTTGGTAGGAAGGGTGAGTGAGCTTTGAATGTAGCATTTCTTGGAATGCAGAGTCTGGGAAGACTTTTTAAAGTTGAATGTACCTACAAGTAAGCGAACAGGACCACGCTGTGATGATCAATCGATTGTAAGTAGTTTAATACCTTGCGCATACAGCACTGCAACAGCAGGCAAAAGATGAATGAGGGTTGCCACAATATGTAATATTGAAAGTGAATGGTTTTCAGCACCCTCAAGGTTTTATTATTATTTGATACCAATTTTAATGGTATGAGAAATATACACAATCCGATCATCTCAGTCCAGAAGAAAAAGAGGAAAAAAAAAACACCAATTTGAAATAGTCCTCCTCAAATTCTCCCCGATGCTCATTTCAAATTCATGTCCTGCCAAACAGCCCAACATTTCAAACGGTGGTCTGGCTCCGAGATGGGCAAAAAAAATATATTTTGAAATTGAGGCCTGCCAAACGGCCCATTTCTCACCGTCCTCCAGCGGTAGCGGCGGAACAAACTGGAAACCTCACTCTGTTCCTGCGGAAACCAAAGACTACTTACTTACTGGTTATAAGTTAAGTTATGGCTTATTCAGTCGTGTCCTTAACTGTCACACCGCTAAGTAGAGTCCACTTCCAAAGCAATAAATCTTTTATCTGAATGTTCATGATGGCTGTCGACGTGCTAACTAGAGTTCACATTTCCTTCCCGGTATGCTCCCCCATTTTGCTACATTAGTGCCAGCTTGGAGCTGTGAAACTAAGGCCCGGCGGGCGGGATTGGCGGGTGCATAGTACTGTCATACTTCCTGCGAACCCTTCTAGTTCATGAACGAGCGGATGGTAGATATGAATCATCTCCGCTAGATTATCCCAAGTCGTAAAATTGCTTTAGATTCCAGACCATTCCAATAGGAGATCCCGCAGTAGAACCCCACGTTAACCAAAGAGTCCAATAGACAAAACTCATCAGCCCCAACAGCAGACACCACCTATCACACAAACCACTCTTCACCTTGCAAGACCCATACCATAATCGCAACCTCCTCCCTTCCTCTCTCCCCCACTACTCAACTCGCCGGATTGAAGATGCGTTTTTTTCTCTCTTTAGTATATGTATACCTAAACGGGAACATCTTCAAAAACCGACTCCCTGAGCACACCCTCCCTGCCCTTGCGACACTCCGCCCCCGGGAACCATAACCTCCGCCAAAAAGTAGGACCAGCAAAAATTAATGCGCCAAACCCGGATTGAACGGGTGACCTTCAGATTACCCCGAGTTTACTGATGACTTGACTTCAGTCTGACGCTCTCCCAACTGAGCTATTAGCGCTTGATGGTGCTCTTTCCCTTATTTACCCTGACAAACCAAGCATAACAGGTTAGTGAGTGGGTCTAGCGGTGGTGAGGGGAGCTAAGTAACTTAGTTAGTTCTGTCATAGCTTGGAGAAAGGGGATGCGCTAGTGGAGGTGGATTCTTCGTCGCTCCGGGAGATGTTAACAGGGTTTGAGCAGTTTGTGTAAAGTATCATACGGCAGTAAGGAGTTGGAGTATTTGTGTGTATGATAATTAGTAGTACTATTCTTGAGCTTGTACCGGTGTGAACAGATCGTGGTCGTGGAGAATGCGTGGTAAAGTATAGTACGGCAGGTTCGTTTTATATCTGAGGATGTATCTCTACTAACGTAACAGTATCTTAACACTACGATAGGGGGTTTATGTGGCTTCGTCGTTGGTTTTTCTTCAAGAATTTCACTAAAGGATGTTTGGGGGGCGGGTGGGTTTTTGTGAAGAGTTATTTTATACAATATTTAGAACTACGTATGACTTAGTATGAACGGTGGTTTGTCATGGGCATTTTGACCTTGAATATGGTATTGCAACACGTCGACGTGTCGAACAGTCCTTTAGATGGCGCTCGCGGCGCTATTTCCCAAGGAACACTATGGTGGAGCCAGGAGGACATGGGTGAAAAGCGCGATAGATAAAGTAAGGAAGTATGATACGCAGATCTACAATGAATTATGGTTGAATCTTCATCACTGATTTCCGAGTCCGCTTGTATCCATCACCAAACCGCCACATATATAGGCAAAGTGAATTGAGGACAACATCGATTTAAAACTGGATGTACGAACGCTTTTGTATATACACCCCCCCGCCGGCGCTAAAATGTAGATGATATCCAATTCCTCCACTCCAGACAAACCCACCCCTACGAAGAAGAAGAAGCACCAACACCACCAGCCATAACCTTCTGCCTCAAGACTAATCTACAGGTCAGCACATTGCCCCCTCCTCCGGTGGATGCGGGAAAGACCTACCGCTCTCAACAATCTGCACATTCTGACTCTTCTGCGCAACAATCTTCTCTAACTCGCCCAAATTCTCCGTAAGCGTCTTTACCTTCCCGGCATAAAAATTTTCAGCATCGGCCGCGCTCTTCTCAACGTAGTAGCCAGTGCCGACATCCACAAGTACGTTTTCCGTGTCGGATAGCGTGCCAGGAACGTACAGCGAGGTAGTTAGCGGTACGAGAATTGTTTTGCCTATAACCACCATCCTTCCACGTTAACAATCCCACGTTATGAAGTTTGGAAAGAGAGAGGGAGAGGAGAAACCAGGGCGCAACCCGGTCTTAACCGTGGTAATGCATTCTTTGAATTTATTCTGGGCCTGGCGGAGTTTTGCGAAGGAGGTGGTTAGGTGCTCGAGTTCATCATCTAGTTGCTTTTTTACGGCCGCGAGGTTGTCAACGCTTAGGGTTGAGAGGTCGACTAGTATCAATTGTTAGTTTAGTTTGGACGGGATTGCTTGGGGGGGTACCGGTTTGTTGTTGAGGAGCTTTATCTTTGGAGGACATGATGTGGGGTTTTGGTGAGCCCCTCTACGTGTGTTTTTGGTGGTGTTATGGTGGGGGATGGAAGGGCCGGGTAACTTTGCCATGAGAGATGCGGTTCAGTGATGGGCAGGTCTATCGGCTTTCACAGCAATGGGTCTCTTGAAAATATCATCGATTGGCCCTAGATAATTCGTCCTGATAGCGATGGCAGGCTGGATACATCACCGACAGAAATAGTGAACGGGACAACATCCCATGATATTTAGTCCGAACTTTGAATAAAGGTCATACAGTACTAGTACTTGATACAAATCTGCAGGAACCAAAACTAAGCATATGCCTTACGGTACTGTATACTGTACCACCTTCTCCCGAATCACCAAGCCGATACCACCAGCTAATGGAAATCTCCGGGCTACACACAGGCTTATACCCCAAGCAATACCCGCGCTCATCCTAACCATCTAAACGCTGACACCTTGCCCACTACCAAACTTAGAGTCGTTGACCTTAGTGGTTCTTCGCAAGTGGAGAATGCGGATTTAAAGGTTAATGGATGATAACTTGGGAAGATGGGGGCCTATTCATTGTTGGGCACAATCTTTCGCCAGCTTTTGAGATGGCGGGTTATGCAGAGGGTAAGCTTGAGGGAAGTGTGCACGTGAGCCCAGCGTTTCACTTCATTTCCGAGTGACGCAACATGACGATAAGACCCATGATCTAATCCAACACGTGCAAATCCACCCCACAGCGCGTCTCCCTCTGAATTACCGTATCTAAATCCTCCACCATCTCCACCAGCTCCAGCAAAAATGGACCTAAACTTCACCCTGAGCCCCTCCTCTGCCCAAAAACTCCACGAATCGCTCATCGCTCTCTCCAAATTCAGCGAATACGTCTCTCTCGAGGCGCGGCGCAGCCGGCTAACCCTCTCCTCCTTGAACTCTTCCAAATCCGCGTACGCCGCCGTGACGCTCGCCAGCAACAAATTCTTCGAAGCCTACAACTTCCCCTCGCCCTCGCAGTCGCAGGATAACCGGTTCACCTGCCGCTTCTATGCTAAAGCCCTCCTGTCGGCGTTCCGGCAGCGCTACTTCGATAGTAAATCCGGTGACACGGCGATCGAGAAATGCGATGTGCGCTTCGTGGAGAAGGCGAAGGGGGAGTGTAGGATGCTTGTGCGCCTGCTGTGCAAGAATCGGGTGTTGAAGACGTACCGTCTCACATACGAGGAGGTGGACGTCATGCATGCTGTGTTCGATAAGGATGCGGCGAGGAATATGTGGGTTGTGAAGGGGAGGTTGCTGCGCGAGTTTATGGAGCATTTCGGACCGAAGGCGGAGCAGTTGGATATTTCGGGTGAGAATGGGCGTGCGGCGTTTACGAGTTTTACGGAAAAGTTGGTGGATGGGAAAGGTTTGTGCCCGAGTTGGGTTTTTGTTGAGTATAGGGGCGGGGTGGCTAATTGGAGTAGAGATTCTGAAGCAGCCGTTGCAAACTTCTGTGTCGTTTGATACGGCGGATTTCGATACCTTTGGTGCGGAGGATGGGGTTCATGTTGCTGTTAGTTTGAAGGACTTTAAAGCTATCGTTGCTCATGCGGATTCACTTCATGCCTCGGTCACGGCTTACTACAGCGATGCCGGGCGGCCTTTACAAGTTACATACGAGCAGGAAGGAATGAGTTGTGAATTCACACTCATGACATTGGGGGATAATAGGGCCGCCCAGACGTTTACTACAACTAGAGTTCAACATCGACCTCCAGCACCTCCTGCAGCCCCCCCTCCACCAATGGCTCCTCCACCGCAATCACAGACAGACACTTCCTCCCAACGACAAGACATGATGGGCCCTCCAGGAAGTCTTAGATCCCAGTTTGCGGGTAGTTTCCGTTCACAGCGTATGACCGAAGACAGAGTGATACAGCCAGTAGAAGACCACCAATCTAGCGGATCTTTATATCGTTCTCGACTGAATGTTTCCGGGACTTCCAATTCCCGGTCCATTTCGGCGTTCACTCAGGAACAGGAGCCGGAACTCCCGCCAGTGCCGGCTAGCGCTGTGCCTCCTGCTGGGTTGTTTCTGCCATACTCGAGTAGTGAGGAGAGTGATGATGATGATCTTGGGAAGGTGGCCTGGGACGAACCGTACCTTAAATGGGATACCAATTTCAATAGCGACGATCGGCCAAGGCCCGTCCTGAGAGATCGGTCTCCTCCTCCACCGCCACCACGCGTTCCGCCACCGGCAGAGCCACGGAAGAGGAAGAGGGTCGTTGAACCAAGCGGCGATACAACGCAGAGCGAGGAAGAGCAGCAGGAAGAGGATGAGATTAACGCAAGGACGGTAGTTGAAGTAGTTGGGCCAACGCAGGAAGTCGCTCCGGCGCAGTCATTGTTTGGAAGTGGGTAGATGTGTATAATAATAACGAGCTATTTTCAATAGATATTAATGGCAGTAATGTACAATAAATACAAAGTTATCGACAATGGTAATCCTTTCCAAAATGAACAAACGAATAAAATGTGTCCTCATAAACCCATATATACATGAGTACCCTACTCAATCCTCAACATACTCTTCAAGCCACCCCAGACCCGCTGGATCTTGAACGCCGTCACATCCTCCTCCTCCACCTCCTCGCTCAAAGTAACATTCCGATAAAGCTCAACTGGAATATCACCAATAAACTCCCGATCCCCAAACCCACCGACCCAGTAGACCCTCTCAACCTCAAAGGTCACCCACTCACTCTCATGAATCGGATTCCCAGGCACCCACCACTTTGCGTCGGGATGTGCCTTTGTAAAGCACACCTTAACCCTCCTCCCTTCGTCGCTATCGGCTGGAATCGGAGGACTTAACCGACCCATGAGCGAAAGGCGATGATGCGCCGCCGGGGAATAAAATTCATTGGAGGGCGAATGCTCGCGGAGCGTGAGCGAGATTGGAGCTCCGTTTCGGGCATTCTTGAAGGATGTGGCGATTTTTATGGCGAGGAGGGTGGGGTTTCCGTTGGGTGAGCTAGACAAGTTGAGAATTACGAGTAGACAAAGGAGAGGAGGGGGCATAATGTGGGTTATTCGTACCAATCAGCGTAGTAGTCCATCATCCCGATAGGATGCCCACCGAGGCCGGGTGCATCCGAGCTTGGGAATACGGTACTTAGCGTGCCGAACTTTTCGGAGCGGAGGAGCTCGCGGGCTTGGACTGCTGCTTCTTGAACGGTGGGGACTTTGGTTGTGTCTTCCGATGGGTATGCTATGGCCAATGGAAGGGTGAAGAGGAGGATGTGCTTGAGTGGGAAATGCATGTTGTGCTTGTACCCGTACTCGTACTGTAGGTTTTGGATGCTTTGCGTTCCGTTGCTCGTTGTTGGTGGCTGCTCTTATGGTGGTGTCACCCTCACCCCAGGGCCAACCGGGGCTAACCAGGAGATTAGATCCCCCGATAAGATCAAGCCCAAATTCAAGATCAGATAACGAAA